GGGGGGGGGGGGGGGGCAGTCACTGGGAAAGATCTTAAAACTATCACATAAATTTCCAAGTGTCTGGTTCAGACATGAGAGGCAGTACTGATCCCAGGAGGATTAATTATATTAATTAAAAAAGAGAGAATATAAAAAATAACATTAAGAGGAAGAGCTTGAAAGATTTGGACATTTCTATGTCTTCAGTGATTTCATAATCACTACACACAAAGAATTTAAGATGCAACATATATTGTTTATGTAAGATTACAAAACGTACACAACTGTGTCATACAGAAGAGTGCAGATTGGATTTCAAGGAAAAACAAAAAACAAAACAGTGAAACCTTGAAAATCAGTAACCTTTGTTAAAGAGTTGCCAGCAGCTAAAGCAAAGCATGTGAATTCAAAACCAGTCCACTCACCAGTGATGCTCAGGTTAGCAGAGCAGGTGTCACTACCATGCTTGTTTGAAGCGCGACAGCTGTATTCACCAATGTCATCCTTTGTTGGGTTGAGGAGCTCTAGAGATGATGTGCTTTGCCTGCTGATGATCCTGAATTTGTCACTCTGTCTAATCTCTGAGCCAGACTTGAACCACTTGAAGGTCACATTGGGTGTCTCTTCAATTTCACATTCAAACTTCACTGGGCTACCAATGTTGCTCTGCACGTCACAAATCTTCTTTTTGAAAACTGGAGGCACTGAAATATGCAAGGAGAAAAAAATACAAAACATTATTACATGGGCAATACTATGACAACTGACTTGAGTGATATATCAGAATGCATCAGAGATGGAAAGGAAGGGATGACTAATCCTGGGATAACATGAAAAAAAGTGATGTGAGCGTTAGCAGAAGGGTGATAAAGAATCACACATGACATGGTCATGCTTGAAGAACTCAGAAGATGAAAAATGTGCCATTATTTTGAAAGAGGGTGGAAAGATGTTTAGCACACAATGTATTCTTGAAAATAATTCTTAAAGAAATTGTGAAGTAGTGGGAAGATGATGTAGCAGCTGCCTACTAGTTAATTAGTGATGGTCTGAGTTGAATTGTTAAGAATTATCTATCTCATCTAAAATGACAAAATCCACACGGTCCAACCTCTTGACACAACAGTGAGCCTTGATGACGATGATATCTTGCCAGCTTCACTCTCAGCCTCGCAGGTATATTCACCTTCATGTTTCATCTTGATAACTTTGTTGATTAAGAGTGTGTAAGAGTCATTATCCTTTAAACATTTGAACTCTTTGCCAGATTTTATCAATACTCCATTCAAAAGCCAGTTTACACTTTTTACACCTTTTATTCTCACAGACAATGTAACCTTGGAATTCTCCTCTGCATTAATATCTTTTAATGGTATTTCAAAAAAGAGCTTTTCAGGCCAAATGTCCTCTGTTAAAACCTCCTCTCGTTTGTCTTCTTGAATAAGAACATCCATAGGCTCTTCCACAGTTTCCTGCCTGTGAGGTGCATCAACCGTAATATCTGAAACAATTTTAATTTCCCTGTGTTCAGTCTCAGTGAAACTGTGGATCTCCATCTTGGATTCAACAGTCTTCTGAGTCACATCGTGCCTTGACTCCTGGATACCAGTTTGCTTTTGAGACATTGCAGATTGCAAAGAGACTTTAGCTTCTGTTTGCAGAGCAGCAGACTGCATTTTGGGTGTTGCAAACACTTCAACATTTTCTGTTAATATTGCTGAGGATAATGGATATGAAGAAGCTTTGCTAAACTGCAATCTCTCAGGTCTGTCAAGTTTTAAGATGTTTGACTGTTCAGAGGTCAAGATGGGTTTCTCCTGATTAAGCATGGAGTAGAAAGCAGCATGAAACTCATTTTTAAGAGCTGCTGTCTGTGGGTATTCACCCTCGAAGGCAATTGTAATTTCAATGGGTGGACCAGCTGTTGTAATAAGGTAAGTGAACATCAAGTATTTCGGTTCCATGTGCACCCTGACCTCCTTTACTTCCCCGACTTCTAAATTTTGCACTACATCTGCCAAAAGCAAAGGTTGCTCACAAGCCACAGCACATCGAAGTGTCATTTCCAGCTGTTCTCTGATGTCCAAGCTGTGTGATTTTGGTACAGGAATTAGAAAGGTAAGCTCCTTTGGAAGAGTTTTGCTTTCCTGCGATTCACTTACTAAAAGAGGTTCTAGTGGCTGAGTTGTAATGTTTATTTCAGTTGCCTCTGATCTGGTAAATCCCTGAGACATTTCACCTGTCAGAGTATGTTTTTCCTCCATAAGTATTGAATGCCTTACAGATTGACCTTCTTGAATCTGAACTGCAAAGTCTTGCTCTGCAGCCTCAAGAGAAACACAACTTTCTGTTGATATGGCTTTTTCCTCTACATGATAAGACTGAACCGGTACTTTAGGTTCTACATCTGTCTTACAAGTAAATTTCTCAACTGCTTTGAAACTGTCTGTGCGACCCTCTTCTATTGAATGAGATTCTGACACAGATGCTGCATGCATGTTATTCCACCAATCCTCTTTCTGCACAATTGCACAATGCAGCTTGACTTCACTGACCAGAGGGCTTTCCTTTGAAAGCGGATCAGTCTGTGAGACTACCTGAAGCACACTCAAGGGTCTGGCTTCTGTTTTGCGCTCAATCTTAAGACCTTCTACCATCACATCAAGACCTTTGGCATAATCTGAAGTTAGTTTTACACGTTCTTCTTTAGTGGCTACAAATTTACGGTCTTTTTCTTGTCTCTGGATGGCTTTCTGTTCATCTGGCTTTTCGACTGAAAGTAACCCTTCTTTATATAAAGTAGTATTCGACTGCACCGAGTGAAGATGTAATCGGGCAGGAAACTCTTCTCTGGGCTTTACAACAATTGTGGTATCCTTGGATGCTAGCTGTGTTGCCGGTTCATAAAAAAACGTTGTCTGGTCATCAGAAGAAACTGCGTGCAAAAGAATTGGCATTTTTTTGACATCCACCTGCTCGAAACCTGGCTTCTCACTAGTAAATCTGCCCTCAGACAAAAGAGTGCCTTGGTCACTGATAAGCTGTAAATTAAGCACCTGATCCTCTTCTTTTTGGGAATGGACTGAAAAAGGATGCTCTAGAATAGGTATTCCAGTGGTGTTGTCAGCTTGAAGCTTGTTCTTTTCTTCAGTAATCAGGGCTGATTTTAATATTGGCTCTTTAGAGAGCTGAGCAGTTTCCTTGTCTGGACTATGCATTTCAAACTTTTTTTCTTTTAAAAGAGTGTGCTTAGTCTCACTGACTGATGTAAGCACTGGTTTGGTTTGTTCTTTTTCTGCTAAACATTCAATGGACTCAAAAGTTGCTAGCTCTGAAGTATGACCTTCTGTAAGTGCTACATTCTCCGATGATGTTGCAGTATACAATAACTTAACCCCTTCTGTAACTCTGTAGCTTTTCTCCTCTTCAGGACTTTTAATTTTTGTGCATTCTTCCCGTAGAATTGGTAACTTAATTTCAACTTGAGGACCACTAACAATAACCTTTGGCTCTGAAGTTGTTTGTATCTTTTCAGTTTCACTTTTTATCAAATCCTCAGCTTTCACTATGCTAAGAGGTGTAGAACTATCTGAAATGGCGGATTTAAGTTTTGAGTGCTCCTCAACACTCAATTCAAGCTTTCGTACGTCTGGACTAACAATTTGATGACAGTGCTGCTCAGTAAAGCCTTGGTTTTCTTGAACAGCAGAGGCCATTGCAGCCATATGCAGCTGTTTCAGAGGAGTTGCCACCACTGGCATTGGCTGGGCAGGGGCAACTTTTACTCTCTTCTGCACATCATGAGACTGAATCACTGTAGCTTGGTGAGTTACCTGCTCCATGTGCACAGTGGCTGCAGATATATCTAAAGCATGCAAGGTACCCATATGCCCACTTGTAACAGTTTGCCTGTTTTCAGTGCCAGTGGTGTAAACCATCTGTTGTCCTTGCTGAAGGCTAGTCCTGACTTGTTCTGGAAGACTGACACTATACAAACGTGATTCAGTGGTTTCAGAAGCTGTCTCCAAGAATACAACGAGTTCTGCAGTGCAAGAGGTTTCTCCAAGAGGATTAGATGCCCTACAAGAGTAAAGATCACTGTCGCTTTGCTGAATGCCTAATATCTTTAAATAGCCAGACCCATCTGTATTGTTCACAATGATGCAGTACTTACTAGGCTGCATATGTTTGCTACCTCTATACCACTGAACATCAGGAAGTGGAGCCCCTGTTACGGTGTATTCAAAGAGAGCATGGCTACCGGCTGCACACTTCACATGCTCAATTGCTTTGATGAAATATGGAGGCTGCCCAAAAGTCTCTTCTTGCTCCTTTATGTCCTTCACCTTTACATGAAGATAGGATGTACATGTTGACTTGCCAAATCGGTTGCTCGCGTTGCAAGAATACTCTCCTTCCAACTCTTTGGTAATGTTAATTATGACAAGAGTATGTTCTTCCTTCTCTTGGACAAATGTATAAAAAGCTGAGGATTTTATCAATTGGCCATTGTGGTACCACTGAATAACTGGCTTAGGAAATCCAGAAACTATCACAGTAAACTTAGCCGTGTTTCCAAAAGTTGCGATTGCTGATGAGAATTTTGTTACAAAAACGGGCTTTTCTGGCTTTTTCTCTAATGGTTCTGAAAATGATTTACACTCTGGCTGGAGTTCAAATGTTTTGCTTTTTTCTTTTAAATGAAGACTTGTTGTGCAAGAGTCCTCCCCAGTTGATATAGTCGAGGTAGAAAACACTGAATAAAAAATGATGAAATGGTTCAATAAAATGTTCATAATATGCAATATATTATATATATAAAGTACTTTGTTAGTGGTGGGAAAACCTATAGATACATAATTATGCAAAATAATTTTTTTACAAAAATATATACAGAAAAAATAAATAAGCCTCACAACAAAATGAAGTAAATAAATGATAAGTCAACAAAATTTGTATTTAATCATTTACCTTTTGCTTCCTCTTCATAACTGGCCTCCTCATCCACTTTAGACACTGTAAAAACACAAACAAATATTTTATGTGTGACAGCACATCATGCAGTTTCTATGCAGTATTTTAGTATCTGTGCATTCTTATTATTATAAACCCATTTTCTCCTTCAAACATAATGAAAATGGACCACATCTCCCTTGTAGATCACCCATGCCGTGACAGGTGTCTACTGCAGTCACTATCAGACTCCTATAGAGACAACATTTGCATGTTGTGAATGCAAATGCAAACCTGTCTTCACTCTGAGATGAGTGCTGCATGTTTTGTCTCCTGCAACATTGATAACCTTGCAAGAATGTGTGCCCCCTTGTTCAGAACCAATATTCTTTACATTTAAGCAGCACAATGGCCCGTCATGTTTCAAGGAGTATGACCTTGGCTCTTCAACATTCAACTGGTTGTGTAGCCATACAACGAATGGAGAGGGGGTTCCTTTGATTACATAATAAAGAGAAACACTCTCCCTTTGTTTGGCAAGGAATTCTGGGGACAGTTTCACAAGGAACTCTGGCTGCATTGCATCGTATATGTCACGCTCCAACAAAGGGATAACATCAGGATTGTAATGTCGGCTTATCTGCCACTTTGTTGTCAGGGCTCCAAAATTCGGGAAGGACTCCTGCTTTTCTTGGTCAGTGGCCTTTTTACTTGACTCATTTTCAGTTTTAGAAGATTTACTGATAGAACCGGAAGGTACGAGGGTTTCTTTAGGGTTCGCTTCTTTAGCTGAGTGAGAATAAAGTTAGGGAAATTTATTAGGGATTATTCAGCAAAATATTTTAGCATTGATAAGAACAAAAAAAAATTTAGTAAGATGGAGGATGATGTTAGGCCAGGCATGTGAAGGATTAAACTATTTAAAATATTAAAATTGATTACATGGGATATTACATTGTAAATTAATTAAAAATTAAAGTTGGTTATAATCACATGAAACATATTTTAGAATAACAAAACACCAGCAGGAAGCAGATGGGATGAAATGAGCATCAAAGGCAAAACAAAATCTATAACCACCTTCCACTGTGAGCTGTGCAGATGTTCGATTTTCACCATTTCTATTTTTAACAGTACAGCAGTAACTTCCCTGGTCCCCAAGATGGACATTGAATATGATGAGAGAAATGAGCCCGCCTTGATGTACATACTGCACCCTTTCTGTATTTGTGATTGTCCTTCCATTATGATCCCATATAATTTCAGTAAATGGTTGTCCACTGAAGGAGCAGTTGAACTGAGCCACATCACCCAGGCTGACAATGACATCACTCATTTTCAGGGTCAAAGTGGGGCTTGTAGAATATTCTTCCATAGAGGTAACTTGTTGGACCTCAATGCTTTTAACAGATGTTGTGGACATCATCACCGTAGAGACACTTTCAAAAGTTTGCATAGTGGAAGAATGAGTCTCACTCTGGGAGGTGACCATCTCCGAATGAGTCATTCCAGTGCTCGAAACACTTTGCCTACCTACTGTTCTCACACTGAGATCTGAGCGATAAAAAAAATAACATTAGACACTTATAAATGTCAAACTGCCATTTAAGTTAAAAAATAACAGATTATTACTGTAGTGAGAGATGGCAGAATTTCATGGATGAGTTCTCAAAATTCATGAAGATGATGACAAGCAAAAGGAGCCTTCCATTTAAAATGTTATTTATACTGATGATTTATGGGAAAAACCCTATTCACTGAAAAATAAAGCTTGGTTTTTAATGGTCTGTGGTTAGTTCTCTCAATAATGAAAGAGAGGTGATGCGATTTGTATCTTTTAACACTTCTATATCGCGTTTGAATGATCTATGAATTTTGATGGAAAACAGTGCCTTTGACATGCACAGTAAATAATGGGGTCCTGGTCTTGGTAAGATCATAGATGGCAGTGGAACTAAACACCTGTCTCGTGAAATCCATAATGATAATGAGATCCCTATGAGAAACAGTTTGTCCAAAGTGTATTTTAAGTTAATGACCTGAGAATCATGCATGACATCTAAAACCTGTATTAAGCAATGGAACATGCTAATAAGCCAAACCAAAAAAAAAAAAAAAAGGTCAGGTCGTTCAACGAAAAAAATATGGAATTGTCTGGAGAGAAGGAACCTAAACGTTTGCACATACCATTGACAGTCAAAACAGCGGAGCAAGAGACCATTCCTCCAGAATTGCGTGCAACACATGTGTATTCGCCTGCATCTGCAACATATGCTCTGGAGATCTCAAGCTGGCAGGTGTCATCAAACTGAGACATTCTGAAGTTCTCAGACTCCACAATCTCCTTATCTCTGAAGTACCAGGTAATCTTCAGATCTGCACAAATCAAACAAACGCTTGTTAAATCCACAAAAAATATTATACATGCATATTAAGAATTTAGAATATATTCTATTTTCCACAGTTGTTCAATTCACAGGGTTGAGCCTTACCATCTCCAGAGACACGGCACTGGAATTTGGCTGATTCTCCCTCTTCAGCAGAGGTATTTTGCAGTGAGGTAATAATTACTGGTGGAGCCACTGGAGCCACCGTGTCTGGAGAAACCACTTCTGAAACTGTTTACAAAAATCATGTTTGTGTTAAAATGTTAGTTATATGAAAGAATTTAAAACTAATGCCTAATACTGGTTTTAAACAACAGTCTGATAATGAGCTCACCTTCCACATTAAGTGAAGCAGAGCTTGTGGCTACTCCATAGTCATTCTTAGCTTCACAGTTGTACTGAGCTGCATCCTCTGGGAAGACCTCAATGAGCAACAAAATGTGCTCATTTCCCTCCCTCAGGAACTTACACTTGAACCCAGAAGACAGGGCCTGAGAGTTCTTATACCAAGATACCTGAGGCTGAGGAATTCCTTTCACTTCCACAGAGAAACGTGCAGGTTTGCCAGCCTCAACAGACAGGGGCTGCATGTCCCTGATGATCTGAGGAGGCTCGGGGACTGAATTAAATTGAGACACATATTAGACCAAGACAATCAACTTCACTGCTGATATTATATGGGCTATAAATAAAGCTCCACTTTGATACAGCTGTACAATGCACTTGGAATATAATGGTATGTCATCAACAGAAAGAGCTAAAGACATATATTCAGATTAAGTATTGTACATACACAAGTTCATTTCAATTCATTTGTTTTGGGGTCAGAATGCATTAAATTGATCAAAAGTGACAGTAAAGACTTTTCCATCACTACATTTTTTTTTATAGAGATGCCTTTCTTTAGAACGTCCTATTTATCAAAGCATCCTGAAATGACGGTTTCCACAAAAATAAGAAGCAGTACAATTGTTTTCAACTGTGATAATGATAATAAGAAATGATACTTGAGCAAAATTAGTATATCAAAACAATTTCTGAAGGATCATGTGATACTGAAGACTGGCATAATGGCTGAAAATTCAGCTTGGCTATCCACATGAACAAATTGCATTTTAAAAGATATTAAAATAGAAAACAGTTTAAACTTTAATAATATTTCATAATATTACTGTTTACTGTATTTCTGATTACATAAATGCAACCTTGGTGAGAAAAAAAGATTTATAGAATCTTAATGACCTCAAACTTTTGAACAGCAGTGTGTATAATAAATAAACTGAGCATTTATTTAAATATATTTATAGATATCTGAACTGTACACTCACTCTGGACATGCAGATTGACTGTGCTCCTGTTTTTTCCTGCAATGAAAGTGTATTCTCCAGCATCACTTCTGTAAGTTTCAGTGATTGTCAAACGATGTGTCTTTCTAACTGTCACATAGTTGAAACGCTCATCAGAAGATTGAATTTCAACACCATTTTTCAGCCAGCGGCCTTCAATGTCATCCTCATGAACTTCAAACTCAAATGTAGCCCTCTGTTTCTCAACCACCTGGAAAGCATGAAAAGAGAGGGGAAAAAAGTGGTCTCGCCATGGAACACAGATAGCGTTTAACAAGTGACTGTAATAAGACAATGGATAGTTACAGTGATGTCCTTCTCAGCAGGCTCAGAGATGCGGACATCTTTGCCCTCCACAATGAGGTTTGCCTTGGAAACGCTTGCACCAGCAACCACAGAGTACTCTCCAGCATCAGACATGCGCACTGTCTGGATCATCAAACGCTGCAGGAATTTGTCAATGGTGGCTTTGAATCTAAAAGAATGGGGAAGTTATGGACAGAATTTAGATCTATAGACTGCAAATAATCACTTTCTTAATCATTTTTTTTTGTCTGTTTTTTCAGTAAAACTATATATACATCCTTAAAACAAGATTATATTATACTTAAGAAGCAAAAATACTAAGGGCCAGATTTACAAAACAAATTGGCATGAGACGACAATTCCATAACAGAACAGAGGGGAGTGGAAAGTTCTGCAGCTGATCTACTGACAATGCACAAATTAAAGAACACAGACACAGCCAGATCATTTTCATAATGACCAACGCAATCTACCAAGAGCAGTGCAAATAAGCATAGGGTCAAGCAGAGCCAATGATAATCTGGTGCAGATAACCTGCCGCAAGCAGTTAGTAAACAGTTCTTGCCCTAAGAATTGTATGTTATACATCCCTTGTTTTAAGCATTAATCAATCAAAATTTAGTGAGATTTATTCTTTAAACAAGAAAAAAACTATTGTTAAGCAATATCTGCAGTGTACCTGTCAGACATCTCAAGTTCCTGCCCATCCTTCATCCACATCACAGGGACACTGGGTTCAGAGAGCTCACATTCAAATATAGCCTTCTTCTTCTCAGTTACCTTGATATCTTTAACGTGCTTGGTGAATTCAATCACACGAGCTAGAAAACAGATTTTTGTTAGCCAGTCTATTAAGTTACATAAAGGCAGCTGTAAATATAACAAAACTAACCATCAACAAAGAGTTTTGCAGACGTTTCAGCAGATCCAGCCACAAACTTGTAGTCTCCTCCATCCCCAAAGTGAACATTTCGGAGAGTGAGTGAGTGAGTGAACTGTTTGGTGCGAGTTTGGCACCTATCACTGAATCGGATTTCTACACCATTCTTCAGCCATTTGTAGGTGATGCCTTCATAGTTGACGGTCACCTCAAATGTAATAGTGTCTTTTTCTTTAGCATTGAGGTCTTGAAGCATGGATGTGATCAGAATTGCTGAAAGATTTTAAAAAGCATTTGTGAATATGCTGTAGATAGTAATTTTATATTCCTTTCAAGCTTACAGACAACGTACTAATTACTCACGTTTTACAGCCAGAGTAGCAGAGACTTTGTCATTTCCACAAACAAATGTGTATTCTGAAACATCCTCTTGGCTGGCATTCATGACCTTCAGCTGATGAAGTTTGCCTTGCACCACAATTCCAAACTTCTCGCTCATTTCAATCTCAACTCCATTTTTCAGCCAAATCGATGGAACATTGAAATGTGAAACTTCACACTCAAATGTTGCCACATGGGTCTCTGGAATCTCAATGTTCTTCAAAGGTTTGGTGACTCCCAAATCTGAATATATGCAAGAAACATATTTAGAATGCCAAATTTCACATTCAAGGTGAACACTATTTAAAAAAATATCTCAAAACACTTACATTCAACATGAAGATGTGCACTGCACTGCAGATGCCCGACCACAGCAATGTATTCTCCTGCCATGTGACCTTCAACACTCTGAATGATAAGTTTGTGGGCTTTCCTCTCAGACAGTGTTTTAATATTTGAACATGGCTCGAGCTCCTGATTATTAAACATCCACTTAACTGGAATGTCATCATGGGACAAACTCAACTCAAATGAGGCAGTGGCACCCAGTAGTGATGTCACATCCTTTGGTTTTTTCACAATTTTGATAGCTAAAAAGAGATTAAAGGGTACTGAAATACATCTAACAACAGCAGACAGATTTAATTAACTTTGTACTTGAAAGATAATTAAAAACATACTTTCAACATTGAGTCTGGCATTAGCAGAGAGTTTTCCCAGTTTGAACCCATAGACTGATTCATCTTGGGTGTTACAGTTCTTGATCTTCAGGGTGTGAACCATGCCTTGGACAGTTATCTCAAATTTATCACTTGGTTGAATCTCAACACCATTCTTGATCCACTGGGATCCTTTCACATCTAAATGGGTGAGTTCAAGACTGAATACTGCCTCCTGGGTCTCGGTAACAGTTTGGTTCTTTATTGTCTTCCTGATTTTAACGGCTTGAATAAAAAAAAGCAATAAATTCCATATAACTTCTAACAAATTAGAAAACAAAATGAACAATTAAGTATTCTAGTGACACACAGTTTACCTTCAACCTTCAAGTTGCCGGATGTCTTGGAATTTGCCACCTGGTAGATGTACTCTCCAACATCCTGTGGCCTGGTGATGACGATGACAAGGCGTCTGACAGCACCTTTGTTTTCACTTATGATATTATCGCTGAAGTCAATGGGGTGGCCATCTTTAAGCCATTTGCCTTCTGTAGCAGGATTAGCAACTTCACACTCCAGCTCAGCAGTCTGGGATTCTGCTACAGTCACATCATGGAGTGGCCCATTTATAGCACCACCTAGTGGAGAGATTAAAATTAAATGTCTCAACTATACACCTGACATGATTCTCATATTGTGCATGGCAAAAAAAAAAGTATGTACTTTGATTTTAAAAAGCAATATGAATGTCTACATACCTGATACAGTAAGTCTTGCTCTAGATTCCTTCTCACCAGCCATAAACATGTACTCTCCTTCTTCATCCTTCATGGCATTCAAAACAGTGAGGCTATAGTGTGTACCTTTGCCCTCAATCTTGTACTTTGGACCTGCCTTTAAAGGTTGACCCTTGAAAGTCCAGAGAGCATCAATGCCAGGATGAGATACCTCCACTTCAAAGGTGACATTCTGGGTCTCAGTGCAAACGCAGTCTTCCATGTGCTTAACAATAGATACAGCTATAAAACACAATGACATTATAAAAAAATTTAAAACAAGAAAAACAAGAAAATAAATATATAATAACACAAATTTTGAGTGACACTCACGCTGGACAGAAAGTTTACAGGTTGAGTCTACTTTGCCAGCAATCAATTTATACTGTCCTTCATCTGATGCGTAGGTCCTGTTAATAGCCAGTCTCTGTTTAGATCCTTTGACAACCATCTGGACTCTATCACTTGCTGTCACCAGCTTGTTGTTGTGGAACCATTTCACTGAAGTTATATCAGTAGCAGAGATTTTAGCCTCAAGGACAGCTTTAGTTCCTTCCACTGTGGAAACATCCTTTAGTGGTGCCAAGAAGCCAATAGCTGTGCAAGAAACAAAATGATTAATGAAACACTCACTATCCTCATGAAAATGGAAATCAATGTTTGAGAACCCACTGAACATTCATTTATAGTTCAAAAGGGGCTTACTTTGAACTGTTAGCTTTCCATTTGTAGAAATGTCCTGAGCAGGAACAACAAATGAGTACATTCCTGCATCATCCTTACTGGCGTCCTCAATGAGAAGCTTATGGGTGACTTTGTCAATGACCATGTGAATCTTATAGGAAGCAGAAATGGCTTGGCCATTCTTCATCCATGAGCCCTCAACATTTTCCTGAGAGAATCGCACCTCAAGTTGGGCAATATCACCCTCACAGATTGTCAGGTCAGAAAGACCTTGCATCAGAGTCACAGGGCGCACTAGAGTGAACCAAAAAATATTCAAGTAAGATTTATATGACAACCAAAATGAGTTTTGCTAGAAAATGTGGTAGCTTAAAAAATGCTTTTAAATCTCGGTTGCCTCATACTCACATTTCATCTTAAGGGAGGCACTTGTCTTAAGATCTCCCACTCTAAAAGTGTATTTTCCCTGGTCTTCTTTCTTAACATCTTTCACAGAAAGGCTATGACGACCACGACGTGCAGACACAACATATTTGAGGCTAGGAGTGATTTCTTTGTTCTCAAAATACCAGGTGCCTTCAGCATCCTCACGGGACAAAACACACTCAAACTCTCCAGAGTATGTCTCAGGTACTTCCATATTCTCAAGATTCTTTACAATTTCAAGTGGTGCACCTGCGTAACACATAAAATTGTGCATTTGACAAATAATTCACTGCTCAAAACTGATAAACACTGATGGATGAGAAGAAGAAACTGCATTGTACTAACCTTCAACATAAAGTGAGGCACTGGTTCTTATGTGGTCATCGTCAACAACCACACAACTGTACTCTGCTTCGTCATTCATAGAAATTATCAGCACTGACAGGAAGTGCACCTTTCTGTCAGAGTGCATTCTGTATTTGTCACCTGAGAAAATTTCTGCATTGTTCTTCATCCATTTGACCTTCACAAATGGCTCGTTCGTCTCACATTCAAAGGTCACCATGGTGTCCTTCTCTTTAGCATTCTGATCTTCGAGAAGTTGTGTGAATGAAACAACTTGTTTGCCTAAAAGCAAAGCCAAAGCACAATGACTGAGGATTACTTTTACCATTTATGCGACTGAATATGCAAACAGCAACAAGTTGGAAAAATGTTTTACCTTGAACCAGTAGGAAAGCATGGCTTGAGGTCTCTCCAGCAATGTTCATGGCTTTGATCATTATACTTGCTGAGTCCTCAGCTAAGACATTTTTGATCACTAATTCACAGACATGGTCCTCTGGCCAATACCAGTAAACCCGGTCTGACTTCTCCAATAAGACACCATTCTTGAACCACTGACATTCTGGATCTGGTTTACCAGTGATTCTACAGCGAAAGTGTACTTCATCTTCCAGGCAAACTGTCTGGCTCTGGATCCGTTCTATGATCTTAGGAGCCTCCATGCTTGGAGAGAGCACAATTTTCTCTGGTTTGACTTTGGGAATGGTGAGTTTACCCTCCTCTTCATTCTTCTCAGCATCAGGCCCTAGTTCTTTTGCATGATGAAGAAGTTCTTCTTTCCTCTTCTTCAGCATACCCTCATAAGACTCATCCTTCTTGCGGGACTTCAGTTCTACGGCAGTTATTGCTTCATAGTAGCCCTCCTGGGTCCTACGCTTAAATTTGCTTCTTAGCTCCTCTGTTTCTTCTGTTAATTTCTCATGGATTACTCTCTCAGTTTTCTTTAGCTTAACCACCTCCTTGGGTTCTTTAGAGGTCTCAGATGGTTTCTCGGCTTTGACAACCTCAAATGAGACTCTACCATGCTCTTGTGTTGGTACAGGAGCAGGAGCCTTAACCTCAGGTGCACGACGCAAGATTGACCTGAAGTCCTCCTTCATCCTTACTGGCGTCCTCAATGAGAAGCTTATGGGTGACTTTGTCAATGACCATGTGAATCTTATAGGAAGCAGAAATGGCTTGGCCATTCTTCATCCATGAGCCCTCAACATTTTCCTGAGAGAATCGCACCTCAAGTTGGGCAATATCACCCTCACAGATTGTCAGGTCAGAAAGACCTTGCATCAGAGTCACAGGGCGCACTAGAGTGAACCAAAAAATATTCAAGTAAGATTTATATGACAACCAAAATGAGTTTTGCTAGAAAATGTGGTAGCTTAAAAAATGCTTTTAAATCTCGGTTGCCTCATACTCACATTTCATCTTAAGGGAGGCACTTGTCTTAAGATCTCCCACTCTAAAAGTGTATTTTCCCTGGTCTTCTTTCTTAACATCTTTCACAGAAAGGCTATGACGACCACGACGTGCAGACACAACATATTTGAGGCTAGGAGTGATTTCTTTGTTCTCAAAATACCAGGTGCCTTCAGCATCCTCACGGGACAAAACACACTCAAACTCTCCAGAGTATGTCTCAGGTACTTCCATATTCTCAAGATTCTTTACAATTTCAAGTGGTGCACCTGCGTAACACATAAAATTGTGCATTTGACAAATAATTCACTGCTCAAAACTGATAAACACTGATGGATGAGAAGAAGAAACTGCATTGTACTAACCTTCAACATAAAGTGAGGCACTGGTTCTTATGTGGTCATCGTCAACAACCACACAACTGTACTCTGCTTCGTCATTCATAGAAATTATCAGCACTGACAGGAAGTGCACCTTTCTGTCAGAGTGCATTCTGTATTTGTCACCTGAGAAAATTTCTGCATTGTTCTTCATCCATTTGACCTTCACAAATGGCTCGTTCGTCTCACATTCAAAGGTCACCATGGTGTCCTTCTCTTTAGCATTCTGATCTTCGAGAAGTTGTGTGAATGAAACAACTTGTTTGCCTAAAAGCAAAGCCAAAGCACAATGACTGAGGATTACTTTTACCATTTATGCGACTGAATATGCAAACAGCAACAAGTTGGAAAAATGTTTTACCTTGAACCAGTAGGAAAGCATGGCTTGAGGTCTCTCCAGCAATGTTTATGGCTTTGACCATTACACTTGCTGAGTCTTCAGCTAAGACATTTTTGATCACTAATTCACAGACATGGTCCTCTGGCCAATACCAGTAAACCCGGTCTGACTTCTCCATTAAGACACCATTCTTGAACCACTGACATTCTGGATCTGGTTTACCAGTGATTCTACAGCGAAAGTGTACTTCATCTTCCAGGCAAACTGTCTGGCTCTGGATCCGTTCTATGATCTTAGGAGCCTCCATGCTTGGAGAGAGCACAATTTTCTCTGGTTTGACTTTGGGAATGGTGAGTTTACCCTCCTCTTCATTCTTCTCAGCATCAGGCCCTAGTTCTTTTGCATGATGAAGAAGTTCTTCTTTCCTCTTCTTCAGCATACCCTCATAAGACTCATCCTTCTTGCGGGACTTCAGTTCTACGGCAGTTATTGCTTCATAGTAGCCCTCCTGGGTCCTACGCTTAAATTTGCTTCTTAGCTCCTCTGTTTCTTCTGTTAATTTCTCATGGATTACTCTCTCAGTTTTCTTTAGCTTAACCACCTCCTTGGGTTCTTTAGAGGTCTCAGATGGTTTCTCGGCTTTGACAACCTCAAATGAGACTCTACCATGCTCTTGTGTTGGTACAGGAGCAGGAGCCTTAATCTCAGGAGCACGCCGCAAGATTGACCTGAAGTCCTCCTTCTGCTGTATCTCAAATTTTACAAGATGCTCAGTAACACCTTCAGGGTTTTCAGCCACAACTTTGACATCTCCTGAATCATAGGGCTTGGCATCTACAATTTCCAAGTAGTGAATACCATCAAACTGAAGTCTGAACCTTTTACTCTTGCGGATGAGCAGTCCATTGAGGTACCAGTTAACTTTTGGGGTAGGGTAGCCAGTCACCCTACAGCGGAATTTAGCAGTTTCTCCCTCCGTAACTCTTACTGGCTCTGGAAGTAGCACAATCTCTGGCTTAGTCTTTTCAAAATTATCATCTCCAGTAACTCCAGAGGGGCCACCCTCATGTGCAATACGCTCTATTTCTTCTATTCTTTGTCCTCGCCTTCCCTCTGGCAACTGAGTTTCCTCAACAAGGCTTTTCTCATCTTTAACAATTAGTGTAGCAGAGGTCTGGTCAACTCCAAACTTGTTGGTAGCTCTGCAAGTAATGACGCCACTATCTCTGGAATAAGCAGCTTCGTAGTCAAGACTGCAATAGCCAAACTCACTGACCATGCGTAGTCTGTTAGCAGCTTCCAGTGGCTTGCCATCATGCAGCCACTCAACAATCATGGTTGGGTCACCAATAGGGGTCAGTCTGCACTCAAAGTGTGCAGGTCCAAATCGCTTCAGCCTGACTGAGGTAAGCTTCTTTTTGAAGTGAGGCTTCTGTTGCTTCTCCTTATCATAGAGGTCACCGTCTTCCCATTGTTCCTGACCATAGCGAAGATGCAGTGGCTCTAACTCTGGTGCAGCAATTTCTTTGGCCTTGTAAGTTCCCTTGGGAATGACAAGCTTTTTCTCAGGCTGAGGAATTACTGCATCCACCTCAATGTTAACTTTGCAGCGTGTGGTATCTCTGCCAGCTTTGTTGATAGCAGTAGCAGTGTACCATGCGCTATCAGATCCTGTACATGATGGAATCTTGAAATGAGCTTCGCCTTTACCACCCTCAATCCTAATAAACAAGTAAATTCAGTTAACTGTAATACAGAAATGTATTTTTTTACAGCATACACATCATCACAGGGAGTAACATTTTGATCATTTACTTACACCTGTATATTTTTAGGACTGAAAACTTACCTAATATGTGGGTGTTTGTGTGGGGAGATTATGTCACTGTTCTTCAGCCAAACAATGTCAGGAAGGGGATTGCCAATAGCTTTAACAGCTAGCTCAACCAAAGTACCCTCTTTAACGCTGATGTTTCTTAGCTTTTCCACAAATTGTGGTCTCACCAAGTTTTCCTTGGCTAAA